GGAATACATGTACACTGTGGATGGGGATGTATACTAGTCCCTCTGGAAAACAGTATTGAGGTTTCTCAAAAATAGATCTACCACATATGATCTAGAAATTCTATTCCTCGGTATCTGAAAAATGCAGAAATACCACTTGGAAGGGATATATGCACCACTATGTTTACTGCAGCCATATTCACAATGCCGAATTATAGAAAATTCTCAAGTGCTTCAGATTAGTAGATTAAGATGATGTGGTAAAGAAACACAATGCAATACTACTCAGCTATGACAAAAGATAAAATCTTGCCATTTATGACAACATGGATGGAACTGAGGTTCCCTCCCAGGGAGGAGGGTGGGGGAATATGCTAGGTAAAGTAAGTCAGGAATAATTTCACTCAATGTGGAGTGTAAAAAACAAAAACAAACCCTTGAAATCTCACTGCAGAACTGAGGCTTTCAGAAGTTGAGGTTGGAGAGGTGAGAGCAAAGTAGGGAGGGGACACAGCAGGGCTATGGGGGAAGGTTTTTTTAAAACAAGATTATTTATTTATGCATACAGAACTGGGGTACAGGCCAGAGTGCAGGGGCAGTGAGAGGATTCACAAGACAGAGTGGGGAGCAGAACAGGCTGACTGACGAAGTACACTGCTGAGGGGAGTGGCAGGCGGGTCAGGAGAGGTCTGCTGCGCCATGTGGATCACCTCTGGGGCAGGTGGGGATCGAACTCATGCTGAAGTGGCTTTAGCTTCTTAGTGCTGTGCTTTAACCCGCTGAGCCACCAGGGAGGGCCCAGCTTGCCCTTGATTTTATAAGACATTAAAATTCCCCAATTACAAGAATTTTTATGTTGTTTTCAATAAACATTTGGAGCAAAATAACTTACAGGAATATAAAGGTGAATGAGCAAACCACTCATGCAGCAAGGGTTATCATCACAGAACCATTATTATACCCTCTCCATTTGATGTTTTTTAAAATGTACCATTGGCCATCTAGTTAAAAAGATGCAGCATGTTTATGCACGCACACCAATTTTTTACCTATAAAAAAATTGGGGGAATGTTTATTGCTGCTTTATTCACAGTTGGAAAGACATGGAAACAGCCCAAATGCCCAAAAGTGGATGACTGGATTAAAAAGATGTAGTCCTTATACACAATGGAATATTACTCAGCAACCAAAAAAAAAAAAAACCACACACACATATGCCTTTTGCAGCAACATTGATGGAGCTGGGAAAGAACATGCTTAATGAAATAAGCCAGAAAGAAAAGGAAAAATACCAGATGGTTTCACTCATAGCAGGAGTATAATGGACCAGGCGAGAAAATAATAATGAATAGCTATATACCAGAGACATTTTGTGGGGGTGGAGTGGGGAATGGGATCAATAACAGTGCGGGAAGGGAAATGCACTAGACTATGGTGATGGCACATGGGTGATTTGGTGATGGGAAGCCCACAGGGATTACAACTGAAATGGAAAAATGCACAAAATGATATAAAAATAAACTATTACTAAAAAAAAGTTCAATAACTCGCAAAAAAAAAAAAGAAGAAATTGGGGGAGGGGGAAATGAAAGAACAGAGAAAACTATACCACAGTAGTCAGGATGTGCTCGAACCAGATTGTGGTTTTCTGGAGGGAGAGAGTTCTGGAGTGGAGCAGTGGGTTCCTTCATGGTAGACAGCTCCTGTGTGCGGCTGTGGAGCATCAGCTTCATCTTCAGTTTTCACTTCGAACCGCACAGGTGTCTGTTTCCTTGAGTGCCTGCCCCTCAAATTGGAATCCGTTTGTCATTGACAGCCGTTCTTAACAATAGGTTTTGTTAGTTTACCAAGTGCTGTATGTCTTACTCTGCACCACACACAACCATCTTGACCTGCCACCTCCTGGTTAGTAAAATCTTGACTTGATTTCTTGGCCTTTTTGGCTGACCATGGTGAGTATCCAAGTCCTCTCAGCTGCCACATCAGAGGTGCTAAGGCTGCACCCAAAGGAGCACACAAGCAGCTGGAGAGGGCATGCCATGTATGGGCACTCACCCCAGAACCCAGGTTGCTGTCATCTTTAAAAGGATGCCCAAGTTACTCCAAAATGCACGTTTGAGAACCAAACTAATCAGTAGACTTGCCCCACTCAAGGGGGTAAAAAACCAACTGCTTCCACAGTTGATTCAACCTTTCTTGGGGATGACATACTATCTAATCTCTGGGGTTAAAAAAAACCATCTGAGATTAACTTTTGAAATGCTATATGCAGACATTCAAAGTAATCAAGCTTATTTTGTACTTCTTGCCTCAAAATCCAAATGTCAAAAATTTTTCTGTAAAAAAGGTAAAATTATCCAACAGGAGAGACAGTGAAATAAATAATTGACAGATATTTCATAATGGTGAAGTGCAAAAATTTAACCCTGCTTTATAATTTGAACTTGGAAAACTGCTGTGGTCAAACAAAAACTTGCCACAGGCAAAGTTTGTACTAAGTTTCCTAAATATCACTGCAAAATATAGGAATTATAAATACTTGCAATAACCTTTTGAAGTGACTCCGAGATCTTTTTTTTTTAAGTTTACTTTTACATATTTTTGTGCATTTTTCCATCTCAGTTGCAATCCCCTTGAGTTTCCCATCACCAAATTAACCATGCTCCACCACCATAGTCCAGTGCATTTCCCTCCCTCCCCCCCCACTTTTTGACCCCATTCCCCACTCCAACCCCACAAAATGTCTCTGGTATATAGCTGTTCATCATTATTATTTTCTCGCCTGTTCTGTTCTATTCCTGCTATGAGAGGATTTTTTTTCCTTTTCTTTCTGGCTTATTTCACTAAGCATGATCTTTTCCAGCTCTGCTACTGTTTTAACTAAGAAACTGCCTGCCCCTGCCCTAGCTAACCCACGTTGACATTGAAGCCCTCTGCTCTATTACCGACCAACGGTGCAAGTTCCCTTGTACTCAACACACTGCGTTCTGTATTTGAGACACAGGATCTTGTCCTCACAGGCTTCCTGCTGCATCCTGACAGGATCCCTGAAATTTTCACTTGGGAGAAAGAATTCACAAGTGAAGTTAAGAGTTGGTACCCAGCTTCTGTGTCGCTATCCCCAGTTATTTGCAATTCTAGTTCTCACTTGGGCTACAATCTCAAAATGTTTTCAAAATGTTTGAATGACCTCAACCCTGAATCTTAAGATATGGGCAGTATTCCTCTCATTTATTCTTTTCTTTAATATATACTTTACAACCACTCATTACCTTTGTATCAAGCCCAAGAGAAACAATGCATAATTTGTGAGCATTCTGCAGGCCCCATTAGACCCCTAATTACAGTAGCTGGGTAAGGAGTTAAAACCATTACAAACCGGGCCCTCCCTGGTGGCGCAGTGGGTTAAAGCACTGCACTACGAAGCTAAAGCCACTTCCCCATGAGTTCAATTCCCGCCTGCCCCCGAGGAGACCACATGGCGTGGCAGACCTCTCCTGACCCGCCCGCTGCTCCCCTCAGCAGTGTACTTCATCGATCTGCCTGTTCTGTTCCCCACTCTGTCTCTGGTGAAGTCTCTCACCGCCCCTGAGCCTCTGGCCTGTACCCAGTTCTGTATGTACAAATAAATAAATCTTTAAAAAAAAAAAAAAAACCATTACAAACCTGCAGTTTCAGGACACTAGTTATTAGGATGTTTGATTCTCCTTCCAAGCGCTGATTACCAACCAGATTAACTTTTCTCCACTCCCTAAATAGATTCTGACTTCATTTCTTTCATTTTACCAATCTAGCCTGACCTCTCTGTCCAATTCCTGGTCCACACTCCCAAACACTTTACAACCCTTCCTTACATGTTCCTATTCTGAACCAAGTTCACACTCCAATAGAGGGAGATAGAAGCAACAAGCATGTTGCTGGTGTAGTAGGTGACAAATGGAGGGTCTTCTAACTGCATGTCCATATGGCCCCTGCTTCACACATAAAAAAAATTAACAAAATCTAAATTTAAGAGCTGAAACTACAAAACTTAGAACCAATAAATCAAGGGGTAGGGAATCAGGTAATAAAATAATTTTTCATAAATTCAAAGCACAATTTAAAGGCTGATAAACTGGGTTTCATGAAAATAAAAGGTTTGTTTCATACATGAAGATGGAAGAAAATATTTACAAATCATGTCTGCAGAAGAACTAGTATCTAGGGCAATATGCTAAACACTAATTATATATATATATATTTTTAAAGATTTATTTATTCATTCATACAGAACTGGGGTACAGGCCAGAGATGCGGAGGGTGAGAGGATTCACCAGAGACAGAGCGGGAAGCACAACAGGCAGATCGATGAAGTACACTGCTGAGGGGAGCAGCGGGCGGGTCAGGAGAGGTCTGCCACGTCATGTGGTCACCTCCGGGGCAGGCGGGGATCGAACTCATGCGGAAGTGGCTTTAGTTTCTCAATGCAGTGCCTTAACCCGCTGCACCACCAGGGAGGACCACACTAATTATATTTTTAAGAGTGACTTGGAGAAAAAAACTTGGGAGTGTTTATCCTACTTGAGAAAAACTCAAGTACAAATACTGTGCAAATTGTTAACATTTCAACTACAGCACCAGAAATGACTTGAAATATACTTTCTCTAGTTTAGCAACCTAGGTACTAAAAATTCAGACTAAACCCTGGTATTTGGCCATTTAAGAAATGCCTCCTTTTTCCTAAAGTACAAGACCACTAAATATCAATCCCCCTTGCCATGGTTTAAAATAACAAGTTTAGTATGGCAATGACAAAAGTACGTGAATTTTCAGCTTTGCAGCCACTTTCATACCAAATCTGTCATTTTAACTAAACTCCCAAGTCTATAAACACTTCTCAAAGTTCACTCCTGAGGTGAGAATAGTATCATCCTCCTTCCTATCTGTCAAAGAGGAATGACATCAATGCATTATTTTCAAAGAGGGAATAAATTAAGGGTTAAGAATAAAAAAACCAACACTCCAAAAAAACTATATATTTATACTTTTTATTGAATTTGTTAATGTTACAAGAGTTCTTGCACTGCCAAACCATGCCTGAGAATTCAAAGAAAGAAATGGTACAATGGACAGCCTCATCAACCCATCATACAGTATATTAAAACTTGATTCATGTGCATTTTGATAATTTCACAATCTTTTAAAAAGTTACAAGAGTTGGAATTTCAAATCTCCCGCAGATCTCCAGATCTCTGTCCAGTATGCCATTAAATAACTTTCATCTCAGTTCATTCCTCTATAACATAACCCAACAAAATTTTGCTGGGTCAAAAATGCATACTTTTCAGGGAAAGTAAGTGGCTCGAGGTCCAAGAAATTATTTAAGATTTTTGGTTCCCAAATGAGTTTTCAGTTTAACCAAGAATCCCTGGTTTTTCACTTAATCATCCAACCTTTCCATGGTTGGCTCAGCTACTCATCCAAACAAACCAGAGAGCAGACGTACTGCCTGCCACCTCAAATATTATGGCCCAGAATTGGTCGGCATGTCCCGTCAGGTGATGCTGTAACCACCTAGGAGTCGGAGTCTTGCATGACACTTGCACCCAGGCTGAGTCCCCTACAGGGAATGCTCCACGTCAGGACTGCTTTACTCACCCACTCGCTTCACTCTTGCCGGCAGCAGGTCTCCAACTCTTGCACTTGGCAAAGGGATTTATTATAGAGAAACCCAGGCTCTACCAAGTGGTCACATACCACTCTGAAATATTTTAATTGAACTAAAGATAAAAAACTAGTAAATTACCAGACTATCTCATGGGATGGAAATAAACTTTCAGAAATCACAGGGAGCTCACTCGAGCCCCTAAAGACCAAAATTGGATATTGTAAGCTGTAATTATTAAAAACAGAAGTGCTACATCACCTGTCTTTTGCCCCGACTCTCCAAATGAGCAACATAAAGAACATACTGAAAGGTTGACAACAGAGCTATGCTGGGACAATCACTGCACTTATGTCTGACACCTTAAATATTTGGGCACAAGTGTACTGGAAATTCTGCCAAAGATCATGCAAGATCCAAGAAACTTAAGTGGGCTAAGTGAGGTTCTGCTCACCTTGCTTTGAATTTGTAAGGACAGGTCAGTGTGGCCGAAGCAGAAACCATGCTCTTTACCCTTTCCACTGCAGCTTACTTCACAATTTAGACCTGATTCGAGGAGGCTTTAGCAGCACCTGAAGTAGAGCCTCCTGCATCCACTGCCCTTGACATCAAAGGTAATTTGGTTCCACTCTAGGGATTGGCAAAGTCATGAGACACTTCACAATTCTAATGCATATTTCAGGTTAATTAACCATGCAATATGCTCAATCAAAGAACTTATTCAAAGTCAGTGTGTAAAAGGCCTTAATGTGGAACAGAGAAAGCACTATCCAAATAAAAAACTAAAAGAAACAAGATCATTCCCTCCCCCACCCTTTTCCCCCACTCAGTGGACCCAAGTTTGGTTGAATTTGTGGTTACCTCAGAGTACAACTCAAAGTTGAAATTAGAAATCACAGCCCTACAGATTATCTGAACACATCAGTTCTCTTGATGGGTATGTTCCAGAAGTCTAACACAGCCACAGCCCACTATGGAGTATTTCTTAAGGGTGGGGCACAGGACAGGTTAATTAAGGTCACTTAAATCTTCATCTTTTACAGCAGATCAAAACCCAGATGACTGACTTTCTGCAGGATTTCTGATCCAGTAGAGCTGGTTTCAAGTTTCATATCGATACTTAATAGCAGTAACCTTCTTATCCAGAAGTTGTGATCCACATGAAGTCCACAATGAGTGCAGCAAATCTGAGGTAGTCAACCCTTACGAAGGCTCAGTATCTGAACATAAAAAGATTTTGAAATGACCACTGGCTGCAGTTTGCTTTGTATTTGCAAAGTAATTATGAAAGAACACTGCTGAATTTAGCGCACACATGTATGAGACAATGAAAATCCCCCTAAATACAATACACATTAAAAGTAGTTGTGACACTTTCAACTTCCATAGTGCAATAGGCTCTCGATCACTTAAACTGAGTGGTCTGCATCAGTTGCTGTAGATCCAGCAGAAATCAGATGATGAATGGCTGTTCATGGTGGTTAGCTGTGCTCTAGTTACCTTAGAAGGGTTAGCAAAGACCATTCGTTAATTGTACTGAGTGTGGCTGCTTTTCTGATTTTCAAGCACAGCATACTGGTTGTCTAGCTGAAGTTTTAGGGCCTGGTTTTTTGAAACCTCGTCCCTACCTCTATTTTTGTGTTTTACTACTTCAAAGCTCTTCTCCATTTCTTTATCCCTAAGGGAAAAGAAATGTAATCAGTAAGTATTTCTGGGTCATTTTGAAAATATTCTTAGTTGAATCCAAAAAAAAAAAAAAAAAAATCACCCCTTAAGAGAATCTTGAAGAACATGAGAAAACTGGTATATGTAATTCCTATCAAACCATAAAAGGCTTCAATTCAGCAAAACAGCAAAACACTGTCCTGAAATTGTATGACCCTATTTTTATGACGACAAATTCACTGGGTAACTTTTAACTGCAAGCCTAGTTCAGGACCAACTCAAAGACAACTGGAATTAATGATAGGGCCATTTCTTCTAATACTTACTTTTAGCGACTTTATTTCTCTGCATAAGGACAACAATTTTCTCATTCAAGTTTTACTTATAATTTCAATGATTTGTCCCCACTTCTACTTTACAGAAATGGGATCAGATAAAGAGGTGTATGGTGAATCACTGCCCTTCCTCAGAGGTCCCTTATTTTGTAGGACAGGGCAGAGCAGCAAGACCAAGTAGAGGTTTAAATTGAAGTCAGCTGTGCTTTTGCTCAGGGGCCAACAGTCACCCCAAAACCCATTATTCCATCTGAGGTCATTTACATTTACTCCCATTTTATTAACTTTAATAATTTCATGTCCCTAAATAAGATGTGGATGTGTCATATGGTCATTTAACTCCAAGTAACGTTCATTTTAAGTACCTGCTAAAATAAGATTTTAATATTACATTATAAAAAATGCCAACATCTTTCATCTATATTCACATTAACTGGGATTACATGAAATGACTATTACATTTCTACTTCCCACATTATAAGGAATACATCAGCAATAATGTACTCATGTAAAGAATTTTAATGAAATGACACTAGTCAGATGTAGACAAACATAAACCAGAACAGAAACTTATAGCTTATCTTTTATGTGCTTTCCCTTTGTCCCCCTCCCCCACCCCACAGCCCTATCCCCTTTCCCCTATCTGGGCATACAAGTCTCACCTTAATTCTCAACTGCCTGTTGGTTGTAACCTTGTCTTTTTAATAGGGAGCAAACCCACCCCAACCAGGGGCAGGATGTGCCTACTTACTTCCGGCTTTCTACATGCTTGGCAGTGGACTGCAGGGACGGGAACTGTGTATCGCTGTATATCTCTGGTGGTCCTTGTGGTGTTTTCCTTGTTGTGGTTAACCGGGCCCCAGGAGGCCTATATACACCACTAGTCATTGTCGTTTCTGGGGTTTCTGTAACTAAAGTTATGAAAAGTCCTTTTAGAAGCTATTCAAATGCATTAACATTTCAATAAGTCATTCCTGCGATTACATCATTTAGCAATTACAGAAAAAGACCAGTGCCTGACATAAGGAAGACACTGGACAACCCAAGTTATCTGAGAAAATGAAAGTGAAAATATTCTACTTTTATGATAAGATAGTTGGCCAACTCCTCTTCCACAGCTACTTGAATTAACTATGTAGATGAGTTCTAGAAGTCAACTTATTGTAAATGGGGAAAAAATCTACTAGACTTGGGAGACAGGGACTGCCTTTCAGAGAGTATGACTTTAGTCCAGTTTACAAATCAGTGAATGTTGATAATCACTTCTTTACCTGGTTGGTGGATTAAGTAAGATGCCATGTAAAGAACTTATTGACCTCTCCTGTCTCACTCGGTGCTCCCATCAGCATTGTGTTTCAGTCAACGCACCTTCTGCTCCCCACTTTGTCCTTGGTGAACCCTCTTACCCCCATACCTCTGGCCTACACTCCAGTTCTTGTATGCATAAATAAATAAGTCTTCAAAAAAAGAAGCTAATAAAAAAATGAGTATCCTTAATTACTTCATTGCTTCTATATCAGCAATGGGTTTTCTTTTAAGCTTCTTCCTCTATTTCCTTGTACAGGTAAAACAGGAAAATATAAGCAGCTGGGTAGTCCAAAGTCCTCCAGTTTTTTCCCCTCTGTTTAATTTCCCATCAGAAATGGATGGGAAATTTTGTTCTTCACTAATCAGAAACTTCATTTCTACATCGTTTACTAACTGAAATATAATGCAGTCATTTGAATACTTCTATAGAGGCTTATTTCCTTATATAACTTTAATCACACAATAAAAAGTTATAACTTAGCATTCATTACTTACTGAACAACTACTATGTGTCAGGTGCTGACCTAAACTACACAGTGGGGCTAAAAACACAACAAAACCCCATCTTCATGACAAGTATACTCTAGCCATTACACGCATGTGGATATTTAAATGAAATAAAATTAAAAAGTCAAGTCACCAGTGGCGATTACACTAAATAGTGCTATGGCAGAGGGAGCAAAGAATATACGTAAAAAGAGCTGTTATGCCAAAAAGTAAAGCAGGAAGAGCTTATAAAGGGAGCACATGATAGGTGGAGCAGAATTTGCAATAAGATAGTCTGGAGGGTCTCAGAGATGAGGTGGAAACTGAACAAAGGCCTTTCAGAAGTAAGATGCAAACAAAGCTAAGGTTGACAGACAAGTTAAATTCAGTCCAACTACTGTTTCTGCAAATGTTTCACTGAAATATATCTATACTCACTATGTATACATGTCCTCTGCAGCTATTTCCGTGCTACTAAAACAGCTAAATAATAAAAACAATCTGTATGGGTTTCAATTTATTATTGATCCTTTGGGAAGAGACAAAAAAACAACAAAACCTGTAAACTCCCTACAAAGAGTAAAGCAAATGCATGGATGAAATTAAAATCACAAAAGGTCTACAGTAGCAGTGTGCTTGGTATAGTCAAGGAGCAGGAGGCCCAGATCAGATAACAGAAAGAAAAATGAAAGAAATGGGGTAGCACAGGCAAGGAAGAGGTAGCACAGGCAAGGAGGTGAAAAGCATCTTAAGTTTTTTTCCCTCCAAAGATTAATTTATGTATACAAGAACTAGGGTCCAGGCCAGGTGCAGGGGGTAGAAGATTCACCAGAAACAAGAGTGAGGAGTAGAACAGGCAGACTGACTGAAATACACTGCTGAGGGGCAGGAGATGGGTCAAGAGAGGTCTGCTGCGCCATGTGGGTCACCCGGGCAGCTGGGAATGCAACTCATGCTGCAGTAGCTGCGGATCGCTTCACAGTGCTGTGCTTTAACCCGCTGTGTCACAAGGAAGGGCCCAGCCTTTATGTTTCTAAAACTGCAGCTTCTTACTCAGATAAGATACAAATGGAGGATTTGAAAAGCACGTAGAGACAGTCTGCCCTGAAGAGATCACCATTCTGGCTGTTTGTTGTGTTGAAAGCAGAATATATAATATATAAAAGTATATAAAAAGAAGCAAGCAGACAAGGTAAGAGATGACACCTCAGTAACCCATAAAACGACAGTCCAAAGCCAGAGTGGCAGCAATGGAACTGATATAAAACAGCCATATAATCAGTCAAATTTTTTTTTCTTTTAGATTTATTTATTTGTGCATACAGAACTGGGATACAGGCCAGAGGCTCAGGGGTGGCGAGAGGCTTCACCAGAGACAGAGTGGGGAGCAGCGGGTGGGTCAGGAGGGGATCAAACTCATGCGGAAGTGGCTTAAGCTTCTCAGTGCTGTGCTTTAACCCGCTGTGCCACCAGGGAGGGCCAGTCTGAATTTATTTTTAAAGTAAAATCCAGAAGAACTTACTGGTAGAGCAGATACACAAGTACAATTTCAGACCTGAGACTGCGGTGCTGGTAGGCAGTTAATATGTGTTGGAGATTAGGGAAAAATCTGAGCTGGTGATGCAATTTGAGTTGCTGAAAGAGACTGCCAAGGGAATAAGGGTGCCAAAGAGAAGATACCAGTGAAGAGTGAGAACCAACAAGGGAGCGGGAGAATGTGAGGGGTCCCAGAAATCATGAGAATAAAGTCTCAGAGAGGTGCTCAAACCCTGCTGATAGGGTAAATAAGATGAGGACTGAGGTTAGGGGTTGAATTTAGGAATGTAAGAGCCAATAGGGATCACTGGTACATACTACCTGTTCGCTCCAACTAAGACATAGTTAAAAAAAAATTAAATGAAGAAAAACACAGACTAGAAAAGATGAAAAAATGTTCTAGCACAGCAGATCTATCTAAATTCTAACATTAAGATACAGGATTACTTGCTGTGCTTTTTTATTCTGTATAGAGTAACAGGCATACACACTGCTTAAAAGTGTTTCTTAAACAACTTCATTACTGTCCTTCTAAAAAACCTTTTTCCTATTCTCTTACTACTCTTTACTACTAGAGAGAATTCATAAAATAGTAAGAACAGTACAATGGGAAACAGAGGGAAAATTAAATGACAAAGGTCATTTGTATTTAGTGAGTTACCAACAATTGGGTAATTGTGTTTACCTGTAAGTTTAAGGAGCCTACAAAAAAGCATGTATCTTAACCTCCAAATGTTTGACAGTCATATATAAATCTATCTCAGGAAAAGAATCCCACTCATCCCACTGTAAGTATGCATTCAGTTCAAAGCTAACCATATCATACATAAACAGCTTTATCAAAATGAAATATTAAAATTACCAATTACTGGAGCAGGTGGTGCTTGTACTGGGGCTGTTTTATTCCAGGGACCTGAAGATTTTTCTGTACCACCACCACCACCTCCTCCACCTCCACCTTCTTCCCAATTATCACCTGGATCTTCTCTCTTTTCATTATCATCTTCTTCCTTTTCACTATTGGAAAAGAAAACAAGATTTCAGTTACAGAGCCACCAGAAAAATATCAGTCCAAATTCTTCCTCTCTTTCATCTGTGTAGTCCTGTAGAATTCAATCTCTTCAAAACAAAACTGCTTTTCCTCACTTGTTTGAAAGAGAGTAGTAAGGATTTTAACCTCAAGCATGGGAACTTATAATTGATTTAACATTAAAAGAGGATTTCACTGCTTAAAGTTTAGGAAACCACTGAGTCTCTGCTCCCCTTTTTTGTACTCAAGAACACTGAAAAATACTTGATATACTGACATGTCAAGTTTCTGACAACCTGTGTGATTAGTCATGTAAGAGCAGGACCCTAGTTGCCACTTCAAACAACTAAGGAGAGAGGACCTTCTACCCTGAAATGTGAAGAAAAGAGTTACTAATTAAAGTATAATGATTAGATTTCTGAAGGACCAAAGTGTACAGGCATTTCAGTAAACATAATTTTAGGCATCAAAAGGTTTCTAAAAGTGGTACAATTTCATTTGCTAATCCCCTTAGCATATTACAAAGTACTCTCAAAACCAGAATTCACATTCCACCTGAGGAAATGAAATCAATGTTCTGTGTTTATTTCAGTGCCAAAGATTTTATTATTGAGTCTCCACTGTCTTCTGACAGTGCTAGAGGGTACATAGAATTGGTCTCACACTATCGATGTATCCATCACCTACTAAAAAAAAAAGAAAAGCAAAGAAAAGACTAGGGCCTCCCTGTTGGCCCAGGGGTGAAAGTCTCAGCACTATTCAACTATCCCTGGTCAGAGAGCTGAACCACATGGTGCACTCAGCAATGTTATTTCAGTAGATTTTCCTGTTCTGCTACCCACTCTGTCTCTGGTGAATCCACACATTCTCCTCTCCACAGCCCTGGGCTACACCCCAGCTCTTGTATAAATAAAGAAATCTTAAAAAAAATTTCAAAGACCATAAGAACTTGGTCTTTGGCTTATCAACTATTATAAACACAAGTAACTGCCGAATCAACGTTCCTTTTTGCAACCCTTTGCCCTTGTTGCTGATGTGTCTGGCACAGATTACTGACCTTTTCCCTACATTATTTTCCCTGATAATGGTGACCTTTCCTGTCTTTAGCTTATCAATCTCTTTAGCCATTCTATCTTTCCTCTCCTATTAACATGAGTGGTCCCTAAAGCTCTGCCCTGGCCTTCTACTTAAGACATTTTCTCCTTTGGGTAACTGCTCCACAACCATGGCGTAATGATATACAGACTATTTCCACCCTAACTGAGTGAGTGACCCTATGAACCTCGCAGCTTCTCTTGGCTTCTGGGAAAGGGCCTTTAAGGGTGCATTCCTTCATTTATATTAAAACAAGTTCTGGCTATAAGACAAACTTGAATAGCTAATGGCTCCTTTAAAGACATTTAGCAAATGGAAAACATCCTATAAATTACCCATCAACCAGAGATGATTCCATGACTGGGACCTAGAATGGTAATCAATCTGAATTTTGAGCAATGTAGTCTGAGTAAAAAATGGAGAATGTACCAAGTCACTCTTCGGTCTCCCTTTCTGTTGACACACAGTAGAACCCTATCCAGTTATGCGAAATGCTGTTAGGCCTACCTATGTTACTGCAACACTCATGTCATATAGACCAACAATTTACTTAAAACCTGAACAACTAGAATAATGTTTATAATAAAATGTTCTAAAAAAGTAGCTGAGGCCCTCCCTGGTGGCGCAGCGGGTTAAAGCACTGCACTGAGAAGCTAAAGCCACTTCCACATGAGTTCGATTCCCGCCTGCCC